CGTCCTTCCTCGTGAAGGGGCAGCGCGGGGCGGGGGACGGACACGGGTCGCCCTGCGGAGCGGAGGCGGCGCTGGGCCAGGCTGAGGCGGCCCCGGCGGGGCGGGCTCTGCTGCTGCCTGCAGGAGTGACAGCGACCCCGCGCGGGGAAGGGGCGCTCGGCCCCGCGGGAGACTAACAAAACACTGAAAAGAAAACCGCCAGCCCGGCCGGGGGGTCCGACCGCCCGCAGGCAGGCAGGCAAAGCTGACGGAGGTTGCTTCTGACCCGGGATTTGCTCGTGTTAGCTCAGGAAGTATTTACATAACATTGCATCAGATGGCGACAGCAAGCCTTTCTGGTGACCAGATGAAGACCAAGAAAGGGAGTGTAAGGACCTATAACAAAAATGAGCTGTCCTTCAATTTAAAAAAACAAAAAAAGTAGGGGAGGAAGGTGGTAGAGTCAGAAAAAGTTTACATAAAAAGTTTACATAAAACACTCAACGACATAGATATAGGGATTACCTTTGGAGAAGATTCATACGGAAACGTTTGTTTTTAATGGACTTGAAAGTCTACAGATGTTTAGGCATGTTCAACATGAACGTCCTGTAGTTTAGAACTAATCCTTGTGCAAATAAAACCTATAAATAGTATTCAGCAGATTTTACAGTGATGCTCTTAGGTATGAAGAGAATGCACACGACTTTAAAAAACAAAAAGTAACAGACATAAGTTTGACAAATGATTGCACCATAGAACAGTGTTTTATATACAGTTTACAAGATATGCTTTTCTGCTATAAATTAATACTGTACTATATAGTACTTAGTGACTTTATTAAAAGCAACTGTTGACAACTGTCTCTTCATTTGCATGGATTACTCTTACTTAAAAAAAAAAAAAAGAAAAAAAAAAAGGATGCCCCCCAAAACATTTAAACAAACATCCTGCTAGGTGAATCTGCAGTCTCTTAATGATTCATAGCTGTAGCACTGGCAGACTGGATAATTGCAACCAGCCACTCATGGACTGGACATGCTCCATGATAAAATTATTCTTTATTAAAAAGGTAATATATTTACTGTAAGCCTAAATGAACAACCTTATATAGAATGTTGTTAGAACAAGTAAACATGGGGACAGTTCTTAGCAGCTGAGAAACTCTCTCCACCCCATGCCTGGGTTCCAGTTAAAATACATCATGGAACTATTTACAGATAACTGTCATTTCTGAAAAAGAAAAAAAAAAGCTTCTCATAGTTTAATTTAATTTTAAAAAATTGAAACACTTCATGTCAGGGCACACCAGCGATAACACTGCAAACTCAGGCACAAGCCTTGCAATTGGATCTATGGAGAGGTTTCTTTTTATTCATCATAAGGTTCCAGTTGCCTATGCCCATTCACTTGTAGGATATGGACCTAAAATTAGGAACTAAATCAAAACCAGGCAGGTGACTGGATGCTTTTTCAAAAATACAGATATAAATAACTTTACTTGAAATTTACAGATTTTCAGTGATAGCTTCTTTTGGCCTGTGAGTGAACCGATTGAAAAAAATGAAATGAAATAAAATAAATCGTAGAACAAACAAAATGCCAGTGAGAAATTATGATACACAATTCATTTTTCCTCACTAAAACACTTCAAAGAAAACAGTTAGAAATTTCAATGGCACATAGTTAAAGGTAATTGCATGAGGCGTCCCATTTCTAACACTTGAGGTTATCCAGCATACTTCCCCCACACTCCCAGCCACACCAAAATAAATCATAAGTAATTTTTTAAAGCACCTCCCAAGGAAAAATGCATTCAGATTCATTTTTCCTTATAAAAGCATAGCTGCCACAATGTAACTAACACCAAATACATTTGGACTGTCACTCTGTTGTGTTGCTTTTCATGTCACTTGTTTTTGTGTCACTATTTCCCCACAAAAAAGATAAAAATTACAAAGACCTAGAAATAGGGCTTGATCCTGCAGGCAAATTAAGGGACATCAACCAAAAGTTTTTTGTTGGTTTGTTGTTGTTGTTGTTGTTGTTTTGTTTTTTTTTGGGGGGGGGGGAGGAAATAGAGGTGCTTTTGTTTTTTTAAAGGAATAAGGACTGCCAGATCCAAATCACTGAATATTCAGATGCAGCATGACATGCATCCAAAGTTTTTTGATTTTCATATTTAAACAATACACAAACCGATTTCAGGGGAGAGCATGTTCTCTGAATGTAAATGACCTTTAAGTCCATATTTGATATCGACAATAAAGGCGTACAGACACAACAACACAATTATGTTTCTCATTTTGATAAAGATAGATTAAATTAATTTTCACAAATGAAAATAAATTAATCCATTTTTACTAGAGAATTTTCTTTAATAGTTTGACCTAAACACTGCATTTTATATCCTCTACAGGAATATTCATCTGTGGTAAATTGCTGTGCTTGAACATAAATTAAAGCACTCAACGTAATGAGAGAAAGAAAGGAGAGAAAGAAAGGAGAGACTCCCTGTACAACAGTTGCTAATAATTTAAATAGTGAATAGTGTCAGTTTCCCAAAATTAGGGTTTTAAGGTATGACATGATTTCACCTTCTATCCTCATATACAAATAAATTACCATACAAAGAATTTTAGCTTAACTTAAAATTGCACCTAGAAAGGCATGGGATTGTTTGTACCTATTACAAAAAACTGTTAAAATCAAGGGCTGCTACAAAGAATGAGGTAAACTGAAGACTCTCAGCTATGTGGCCTTCAGAGAAATGGCTTTTTTCTATTGAGTTCTAGTTTTGCACACCACAGTGTTTTGCTAGCAAAGCATTCTGAGTTCTCTTCCAGGAACTGTTGTGTGTATATCCATATCCTTGTGGATATGCGCATACACACACACTGTATACTGCATCAGCAAAATATATATATATTTTATATAAATATAAGGAAAATTTTTCCCCTAAAATGTCTTAGCGTTTTTCTACAGTTGAGGCGTTGGGGCCCAGGGGAGTAGGTGGGATGTCATTTTGTTCTTACATACATTTTAGAGAACATGTTTTGATCTATTGGCTTCTTGGTGCAGTAATGTAAGACAGATCCAGTTTGGTGCCAAAGGCTTTGCTCATCAGAAGGAGGATGTAAAACACTAATCTCCTAAACAGCGAGGCCAGCCTCACTTGAATTCCTTTGCAACCCTCTGGTCTACCACAAAGTTCATAAATACTTTTACTTTCAATTTGTTAGACATTAAAAACAGGTATGGTACAGTAACATGGGGCAATATGCTTCTCAGTGTAAAGCATTCTTCTTCACTAGTTCCTATCACAGTGCAGACCTGACTGCATTAATATGCTCAGGAGATTAGTCAGCGTTGTATTTGGTTATGGGAAAGGCTCTCCTTTTTTATCCAAAGTGCATAGTGAGAACAATTCAAAGCATTCCTCTTTTCAGTTAGTATTTGATAGTCTGATCTAGGCATCCTCCAGAGAATGCAACTTTGATGTCTTGCTCTCTTCCAAAATAAAAGTCATGAAGTTCAGACATTCATCAGCCAGGTAAACAAACTTTGCCAGCAAATAGAAGTCCAACTATTGTAAAGAAAATGGATAAGACAAACAGTACATATGAAGACCCAACCACTGTATTGTTGGGCAATTTATATGGTTGACCTCCAACTTCATTGATGTAAAATCCTATTGGAAATATTAGGGCTGCCATGCAGAATAGGATCACTGAAAGATAAATAAATAAAAATAATTACTATTTTCTTGAATTGTTTCCCTCAGTTCATAGGGCAGTACAGAAAAGAGTGAACTATCAATTTTTGCTCTGTACTAACTATGAGAGGACTGAGGTAAATCAATGCCAAACAAGTTCATCTAGAAGAAAGTAATCACAAAGGATGTACCATGCTCAGTCTTCTAGAGGAAGGTAAAAAGAACTCCACTTTGATAATCATTTAAACCATATTGAGAAGAGCAAAAAAAATAAATAAATAAAAAAAAAAATCACCATTACAGAAAGATTGAGTTTTTAAAGATGCATTTCTTTCACCATTCATGAATCTAATCATAGATTAGATATGTTCAATTTTAGACAATCATTTTCCCCCAAAGTCAATGTAAATTAACATTCAAACGCTGAAGAAACTCACTTTCCATTATCAAAGGGTTGTCTTTTCCCAAATGTAGTTGCCCTCTCCTATTCTTCCACACAATAGATTTGCATATTTTCAGTACATGCTTTGCTAAAAATAGAAAACACACTCATTGTTTGTCATTGTATTTTTCTTTAGGTTAATTAAAACATACCATTGTAACCCAAGCATTAAGATACTCTATTAGAGCAACAAAAAGCTTTCAGATTAAGATCTAACCTTCTCTGTAAAAGGGTCCAAGATCACCTTTCATAGATGCAAAGCACCAAAACCCCGATTTTTATTTCACTTGAATAGGTGAATTCATATGTATAACTTATGCAGTAAACAACACATATTCCTTTGTGGAGAGAGACATACAAAGAGTCACTATAAAATTAGTAATTAAAAAATTTCATTACACTTTTCACATTCTTTCAGACTCTACTATTGACCGACATCCTTTGCAGTGTTTTAGTTAGGGTTACCATATTGCCAGTTCAAAAAAAAAAAAAAAAAAAAAGAGGACACCTGTTAGAGGGACACCTCACTCTCAACCCACAACCCCCTGGTCCCATCAGTGCCTCTCACACCCAACCTGCAGCCCTCTGTCCCTGGTGCTCTCCCTCACTCCTGACCTGAAGACCCCTGGCCCTAACAGTGCCCCTCACTCCTAATTCACAGTCCCTTGCCCCACTCGGCTATGCTAGGTGACTCTCAGTCCCAACCCGCAGCTCCCCATCCCTGCTGCTACCCCTCAATCCTGACCCACAGGCCACTGGTCCTGCCAGTGCCCCTCACTCCCTATCCAGTCCCCTGCCGCACTGGGCCAAGCTGCTGCCCTTCACTCCCAACCCTCAGCCCCCGGTGCTGCCAGCACCCTTGACCCCTAGCCCCTCACTCCCCACCCACAGTCCCCCCAGCCCTGCTGGTGCCCCTCCCTCCCAGCCCACAGCCCCTCTGTTCCACCCAGCACTGCCAGAGAGGGTCTCCAGCTGCCCCCATCCTGACCAGGCCCAAATGTAGTGGCTGCAGAGTGAGTCTGGCCCCAGCTCAGGCTGGAGGGAGGAGGGGACAGCTATAGTATTCCTGGGCTCAGGCTGGGGCTCCTATGCTGCACCAGGTGGTCTGGCTACACCCCCTGCCCCCCTCCCCGCCACAGTGTTCACCCAGGTGCCCTGTCCCTGTGAGCATGGGCACCGGTTCCTGGTGCCACTAGCCTGGCAGCACAACTCCCCATTGCCCCCCCAAAGGGCCCCCCTGCCCCCTTTCCCTGCTGGAGGGGCAGGCACCTCCCCCCTGCCCCTGTGCCCTGCTGCAGCCTCATGTTTAGATACCATTCCCCAGTGTCAGCAGTCACCTGCCACCCCTCACACACCCAACCTCTCCACCTCCCCCCTCAACAGTCCCCAAACCCTGGCCCTCCAACCCCCACTCCCCACAGACTTACCTTCATCCAGCTGCAGAGACTACTTCCACTACCCTGCCTGGCTGCATGCTGGCCATGTGCATACACAGATGCACATGGTACCCCCTGCCTCCAATTGCCCTCCCCAGGTCTGTACCAGTGGAGCACAGCAACATCCCAGACATTTGTTCAGATTTCAAAACCGCCCAAGCAGATATTGGAGGACCCAGAAAAAGGACATGTCCGGGAAAACCCGGATGGTATGGTAACCCTATTTTGTACTCTGTTCAAACCAATGACACAGATATGTCTGTGAATCTGCTGACATCCTCCTCGTTTCTGTAAATAAGTTCATGTACCTGCTTAATACTGAACATATGAATCTGCATAAAATGGTTTTCAGACAAGATATTCAATGAGGTAACATGCATCTCTTCAACTCCTAGCAGAGGTTACATTTATCATGATTAACATGTTAATTGTGCAATAAATTGTCATGTCACACATGCAAGCAATCATAAGATAAAATGGCCAACCACCCACAAAGATGTTACTTGTTAAATGTGGAACATCCTTATAGCTGGTTTGTAGTCATTTTTATGTGGCTTGTATGCTTTGTTCTTCCTCAACCATCTGCAAGGCATGGCAGGATCTGCAATAATATTCCTCAGATATCACTGCATGTTTAAACTGATGTCTGCCAGGGGAGTTTGTTATTTAAAAGATTAGTCGTTGATTGTTCAATGCTGTGTTTAAGAATGTACTAGTAGATGAAAAATACTAGTGGATGGTTGCAGAATTTCAACTGGTGAAGTCATACAAATAATTTATTAGGTTTTTTTTAATATTCTTTAGTTCCACAAAATTAGACTACATTTCCAGTATACTCATTATAAAAAAGCTTTTAAAATTGTATCTAACATCTATTTACCCAACAATTAAACTCATTTCCCTACCCAAAACCCCCCATGCATTACTTACACAAACACATCTTCCCTCCCTCTGTTCCATTTTAAATTCTAGCCAACCTCAAAATACAGTTCTGCCCTTACCTAAATAATGGTCATTAATACTAGCACCTTACTGCACTGAGAGCTGATAGAAAGTCCAGCAGCTCCAGGGAAGCTCTACTCCCTACTTCAACTTCCCAACTTATGAAAAACACTTATGGATGCCAGCTACTGTTACCTCCAGAGACAAAATGTTAACAGTTCCTCCAGTCCCATACTGCCCACTTAGTGGTACTAGAAACTGGACCTTTCTAGTACCACTACATGAACGGAGCTCACACAAACCTGAACAATGTTGTATTTATATTTTAAAATATGCCTAGTTAAATGCATTTACAAAAACTCTCAGATGTTCAGATTCTTTCCTTATGTGTTACTTTGCATATATACACTTTAAAAAAAAAAAAAAAAAAGCTCAACAAACCTGATGCTTACCAGTGTTAGACAGTTTTTCACATCCCTTAAGACCTCAAGTAATTCTACATAAAAAAAAAAAAACACCAAACCAAACCAAAAAAACCCAACAACTTATGAATGGTAAAATGCAGGGCTCAGCTTTGGGAGAAAACATCATCAGTGGTTTTATAAAGAAGACTTTTAAATTCTGAATTTAGGCCTCACGTACAATGAATCCGATAACTTCAAACTATTTTAAAAACCAAGCAGCTTTTTAAAAAAAATTGTACACACCCTACCACAGCAGCTGTTTTCATGGATTAGCAGATATGCAGAGCACCTACCTGGGTCTAGCAAAATTAGATTAATCCTTCAGATTTAAGAGAACAGCATTTAACTGAATCATTCAGAGCCAAATAAGCCACTAGATGGAGCATGTACCTTCTTTTTAATGTAGCAGCTCTTGTAGAAGACAAGACACTGATTAAGAAGGGATCCACCTAAACCACTTGGGAAGTGCACTGCGCAGAAGCTTCTTTGATCTTGCTTTTCGCCATGCATTCCCCCAGCTGCCAATTGGCGAAGGGGCCCCAGTGGCCCCGCTTCTTGCTTCTGATCAGCTGGGTGGCAAAAGCTGTGGCCTGTTTAAAACCGTGGTTTTTGCCTCTGACTGCTGATTGGCCAAAAGGGCCCCCTGACATTTGCTGCTGATCATCCAGGAAACAAAAATACCATGGGATATTTAAAACCATGGTTTTTGCCTCTTGGTCCATCAGGAGCAGGAAATGAGTGGTGGGGCCCCTCTGCCAATCAGTTGTGGGGAGGGGGCATCCAATATATTTTGTATATGGGGAACACCCATGTTGGACGCCCTTACCATCACTGAACAAGAAATGCCTAAGGTGTTGTTTTGGTGTAAAAGAAGTTGCTGTGCAGTGTACTTCCGGTGCAATTTAAATAGATCCTAAATTATAAGTCTACAGACTGCCTAGCTAGCAAACTGTTACTTTGAGATGCAGCTGATTAATTTCTTTTATGAAGTGAATCTGAATGTATTTGAATACTATATCGTTTATTAAGGTGCTTTAATTCATACCTCTATAGAGCAGTGTTATCCCACATGATAAGTTTTGTTCTCGTTTTTTGCTGAAGGATCAAATTTTCTATTTTAACGGTAAAAAAAAAAAAAATCCATAACTGGGCTAGCTATAGAAAAGATTCTTGGATATGTTTAAATAAATCTGTATCAGCATGGGAAAGAGAGTTTTATTTTTAAAATGGCCCAGGCAACAATGTTTGATAGTGCATAATTAGTAACGGATAATGTGTAAGTAGTAACAATTGCAAAAGCATGCCCAGGATGAGTCACTGTTAGAACTCAATGCTTTTCCTATTCCATCTAGTTTGTCCACCTGAAGAAAAAGTTCTAGTTCTCTACAAAAGTGCTAAGAAGACATTAACAACAATGTACTCACATGAAACGCCTTCAGAACACTGAAATCATCACTTGGATTTTCAAGGCTATTTTTGCTTCGTTACTTTCAAGAATCACAGAGTTACCAAGTTTTTAACGGCCTCGTGAATATATTCGAAATAATTTGCAAACGACTATTACTTACCCCCATATTAACTGATTTTCTTTGAGATATGGCATGTACACCTACATTGGAACATGCATACACACAAGTTGGAGACTTTTTGCTAACAGTGCCACTGGACTGATATATACATATTAGCAATAATGAAGGGCAGGGTTCTGTAAACATCAAAGGAATAAAACCTTTTTTTCATCCCATGTGAGGCAGGCTTCACAAAGAATCTCTCAGGAAAAAGAGTCAGATTTAAATGAAAGGCTGAAATAGTCTTGGGCCTGAATTTTGGATGTGCTCACTAAGAGACGTTATTCTTATGGAATTTGGCATATCATGGATGTCTCATCAAGGCTTGCAATTCTAAAACTCTCCAGGCTAAAGTTATTGCACTAAAAATATAGTTTGTAGCAGGAGAGACAGGAAAAACAGGAAGCCACAGACTCAAACTTAAAGGTCCCATGAATCAGGAGAGGATGCGGATTACATTAAAATGAAATAACATCACGAATCAATGGATAAGGTCTGATAAAGCTTTTTGAGGACTCTTCTTACAATACATGCATACAGACTGATTTACCTTGGGTTTGAAGATGAAAAGTTGATATTGCTGTGAAATGAATTCTAACCAAGCTAACAGACATTCTTGGTGCAGTTCTTTCAGTATAGCAAAAATTTGGAAAAAAAAAAATCAAAAAAAAAAAATCA